ATTAAAAAGTGCAGAAAAAGAAAAGAAAAGAAAAGAAAAGAAAAGAAACCTCCCCCTTCATCCCCAGCAAGTATAATCAACCTTAACATCTTATCACCATCTCTTAATATAAAACCAACCATCTCTTCATCCCATATTTCACCCATTCTCTATAAACCAATCTTTAAAACCTAATCACTCCATCTTAATCAGCAAAAGTCCATTTAGGGTTATCAGAAATAACAACATAACTATTACAAACTATATCTAATAAACCCAGATTGAATCCTTCCTCATACATTTATATCTCCTTTTCTGTTTAAACAAAAAACCCCATCTTCTGTCTTCAGATAAACAAAACCTTTAAAACATTGTCATCTGGTCCTGGTCAACAAAAATCCATTAAACATTACTCAAGATAGCAACCCATTTCTTTTAGCCTTGATCAAATAAACCAATTTTATATTCTTTCTTCTTTCTCCCAAGACTCTTTAGTCCCCTCAAACAATGTCCCAACATCTGCTTTCTCCTCATACTTTCCTTGTCTTTCCCCCCAGAATCATCAGCATCTCTATCAAGCCCCTTTTTTAATTCCAGTTTTAAAAGGTTATCCATGTCACTGTTCATATTCTCATTGTCTCTTTTCACGAAATCACCGACAACTTCAACAAGTCCCTTTTGTAAATCCAATGTAAAGAGGTTGTCCACATCACTCTTTTGGTTTAGTATTTGTGTATCTTTTTAAATGGTTAAATCATCAGCCAGTTTCATTTGTAAATCCAATATTTTGCCTTTTTGTATATCCACTATTTCATCTTTTCACCCTTTTTTATAGGCTGTCATCTTTAAATCCACATTCAAATTGATTTCAGTTTTATTCAATGGAACTTGTTCCTCTTCAGTGACATCAAATTTTTCTATCATAGCAGATAACTTTAAAATTATTTTCTAGCCCAGAAGTCATTAATCTCTTGTAACGAATCCATCGGTATATTTATTTCCTTTTGATGCCCTCTACTGACCAATCTTCAAAGTCATCTTATCAGTTCCAGTTATAAATGTAGAAAGTTTCCCACAGGAAGGATTCTTATAGTCAATTTCAACGTTCTAATTCAAGTCCATCTGAACCCTTAATCTGTTTAAAACCTTCTAAAATCAGCAATGTAATCACTCTTTTGCTGTATATTCCAAAAAGATTTTTTTTTCTTGTAAAGCCTTAAACTTGTAATTAAAACTTCTCACCCAGTGAATATGATCAAACTTGTAGTTCTGAAGGTTCTCAATCTTTAAGAAGTAGTAGGGAAAAAAAGTAACTCCGAAGAGATTAAGTGAGGTTTGGTCAAACCTTGAGCTGCTTGCAAGAGACCGCACAAACATCCATTTCTGCCATCTACTCACAAAAACACCAGCTGTCTGGTGTATGTATGGGTGATCTCAAGATCTCTCCTTTCTCCAGAGAGATTTTGGTGGTCCGGATCCAGCATCCAGCTGCTGTTTTCGGCCATGATATCTCCCACTAGCTGCAGGGCATTAGTTCACCATTTCTTCCCTGGAAGGCTGCTCCAATATACCTTTGATATAAGGAAGCTTCCTGTTAAACCTTGTTTGTCTTCTCAGACATTTTAACCTGGGCTTGAAGGAGGACTGGTAGCTTCTCCACTGGTGTTTAATTGTTTCCCTCAATCTTCTGGGTTCTGATGCACTAAAGGCATGGGATAGATCTGCGAAACAGGTGGGGTTCGAATGTGGCTGGGGGCTCATCTGTGGTGCAGAGCAGTTTCCCCAAGCAGGGCCTTCAAACTGTTTAACGTGTGTATGGCAGCCTCCACTGATAAATTACTATTAATAATAAGTAATCAATTAATTTAGGAGAGAGCAACCTGAAGGCGGCCAGGAGCTGCACTTAACATTGGGAGGGAGGCAATGGCTACAGAGCTGCTCTCATGGGAGGGGCCAAAGCTCTCCATTTTTTTCTTGGGTTTGCAGAAGAGAAAGTTAATCTTAAAAAGAAAAAGAAAAGAACCTGTTTTGAGATTATTTTAGAGCTTGCTGTATCATTTTCATGTGTTTCCTACCTCTTTCTGCCAAAGCTGAGGTCAGAGACCTCCTGAGGCCAGATAGAAGGTTCATGTTCGTTTCTTGGGGTTTCTTGGTTATACTAACTGTTGTTGTTTTTTAATTTTATTGTCTATAAACGTTTTTGTCTTCAAAATCCAGTCTCCTCTGAGTACCTCTGGAGTGGGAGGAACAGCACCCATCTTGACAGCACCCACAACGTTTAGCATCCTCATCAGGAATGGACAGTCTGGAGCCTTCTAGGTATCGTGGACAACACTCACCAACGGCAGTCCTTTTGGCCATCGGCAAAGGGCTCTTGGAACTGTCTTCAAACATCTGGAGGGCATCAGGTTGCTTATCCTAGGTTTAAGCCTAAGCAGATGGCTACTAAAACATAGCTGAACTATGTTGGCCTTTTTGCAGGAGACAGAAAAAAATGAAATTATGATACATGGATTTGATGATTAGTTAAAATAATAGGTTACACAAAATATGTATGTTCAGATGTAGTTTTAGAGTAAGAGGTTATTATATGATTTATCTATATCTGCTGCATAAGAAGTCGGAAGTCATTCTTTTTGTAATTTTTCCTTTTCTTTAATTTTCAACAGTTTTGTATACTTTATTTCTAACTCTCTTGTTCTCTACTTCTCTCTTTGAGTATTAGTTCTTGTTTGCTTTTATCTTTATGCTTTTTTATAACTTAATAAACGTTTTTATAAAAAAAACACAGCTGAACCTGGCATTTCACACGCCTACTGATGCAGAACACAAGCTGCTTGGGAGACATCAGTTGGTAACACACAACAGTTTTTTCCTAATGTAAATAAGAAGTACCATTCCTAGTACTGGACAGTTGATTATTGCAGAGTAAAATATACAACCATTTAAAGCTGAAGATTTTGCAATCTAAAATTTAGCAATACATGGAATATTACCAAAAGTACAAACTGGATTCTGAACGGTCACAGGCTTTCAAGATCACATTGCTAGCATCTAATGGATAACAGAAAATGTAAAGGAGTTCCAGAAGAGACTGATTTTGACTTTATCATTTTTACAAAGGCTTTTGGCTGTGTAAACCACAACCAATTGTGGATAGCTCTTAAAAGCATGGGTGTGCCAGGGCTATTGAAAAATCTGTATAAAGAACAAGCCACAGTTAGAATGGAATATGGAGCACAAATGGGTTCAAAGATGGGAATGAACAGTGGCGTGGTTTCTGTCACCTTATTTATTTAACAAATTGCAGAATATATCATAAGAAAAGGTGGACTAGAAGAAATAGAGAATTAAAATTGCTGAGGAAAACATCAACAAACTCAGTTATGCTCATGATACTACTTGGAGGGCTGAAAATGAGGAAGACAAATCTCTTGTTGAAGATGCAAAAGTTAATCTGTTGCTCAAGATTTTAAAAAATCAGATTATGTCAGCAAGGGCCACCAATTCTATACAAGTAGGCGGAGAAGGCGTGGAACTGTATAATAATAATTATACATTATATAAGTATAATAAACTGTATAATAACAGACTGTGTCTTAGGCTCAGTTCACTGGGAATGTGACTGTAGCCCTGAAACAAAGAGATGTCTGCTTCTTAAGAGAAAGGCTATGACAGATCTAGACAAAAATATTAAAGTCCAGAGACATCCCATTGACTTGAAAGTTACCTATTGTGAAAACAGTGTCTTTGAGCTGTGGTGCTGGAGAAAATGGGAATACTGTACCTTGGAAGATAAGAAAAACAAATCATTCAATTGCAGATCAACCAGTCAACTGCCTAGAAGCACTGCTAATGGAGGTAAAGCACATATTCAGGGCACATCGTGCCAAGGCACTGGAGAAGACCCTGATGCTTGGGGAAATCAAAGGCCATTAGAAAAGACAGGAGACAAAGTGGCTAGATACTGTCCCGGATGACCCAAGCAGGTGCTTCCAAAACTCAGAGAAGGAACTACTGACAGACCATCCTGGAGAAATCGTGGAATCATAGAGTTGGGAGAGAGCTCAGAGGTCATCAAGTCCAACCCCTGCACACTTGCAGGATTCACTACACTATCCTCGACAGTTGACTATCCAGCCTCTCTTTGAAAACCAGTGAGTGATGTCCTTCAGGTCACAAAGAGTGAGGAGGAGCAATGAATGACTGAACAAGAAGATGACAACTAAGGGCTCCATGAAGTGCATTTATCTCCTGGTGGGCAGCCATTACAATTTTCCCACAATATTCGGGCATGTTCATTCGAGCACCACTGCAGAACGCGGCAGGAAATTAAAATCCCCTGCAGGTGCCCTCAGTGATGGGCAATGGGAGGGAAGAAAGGCTTGAACCAGTCGTCCCCAACGGGGTGCCCTCCCCACTGTCCTGTTGCAGGGATTTGGGAGGCAGCCGGTGGAGAAAGGAGGTCTCAAGGCACAAAAAAGACCTTTCTGGACGCCTGCTTTTTATCTCTGCCTCGTTGGGGGATTGCAATTCCAGGACCAGCAGAGCATTTTGTTTTTTCTTTTTAATGTACTCTTGCACTTGGGAACGCAGCACCCAGCTTCTCCATGGACTGCGCTTTCCTCTCCCTCGATGCAACGCCACTCTGCGCATCAGTCTCGTTATCATGCAGTAAATCTCTCCCCCGGAGTTTCCATTCCTCCCATTTTCCGATCATCCTCATGCCTCTCTTTTTCTCGTCATCGGTCTAAGCCAGCAACAAGGCAACTGAAGACTGCAGAGACGCACGTATGACTGTCCTTTGTCCTAACGATGCTGTCTCTGCTATCTTCACTCTTATCTCTTCTAGTTCTTTAACAGTGGAAAAAATAAACTGAAAACAAAACCGATTAGAGCCAGGCTACCTTAAGCGACACATCCTCTTTCTCCCTTTCTCTCTCTCTCTCTCTCTCTCTTCCTCCCTTCTCCGCCCCCCCCCCCCCCCCCCCCCGCTGTATTGCTGTGCAGTTCCTGTTCTGCCCTTTCACAATGTAAGATCCAGCTTGAGCTCCCAGCAACACAACAAACAGCTGTTGCGACGTTTCTCAACAACTGTCCCTTGCAGATCTCGGCTGGCTGGCTGGCTCGGGCATGAACGGAGGGACCAATCTTTGTCCCCTGCAGCCTTCGCCACTAGGTGGGGGATCCTGTGTCCTCTCAAGCAAGACCCCTTTGCAGGTCCCAGAGGCGATCCGGTTCCCGGTCCAGCTCTCAGGTAAGAGAAGGGGGCCAGCCCCCGGCTCTCTGGCTCTTTCTCCCAACGCGGACGGTCCTGGACTCGGTCCAGAGGAATATTTCCACGCTGGGAAAGAAGACCCTTGGCTGAAAAGTTCCCGCCAACCTGCAGAGGTTCTGGGCCTCTCTAAGGCGGGCACCCACATTCACCGAAGCTCAGTTGCGCTCGATGGTCTGTTGCCAGCTAAAGGGCCGGTCTGGACAGAACTGGGGTTATTCTAAACAGAACAGAGGTCAGTTGTACAGATCTGGCAGACCCGGGGTCCACCCAAAGCTAAGAGAATGCGTCATTCAGGATGCCAATTTTTCATCCGGCCCCCGTAGCGGCACTTTTAACCACGGCGGGCTATGCTGTTTGCAGGTGGGCCTGATCCTTCCTTGCCCTTCAGATCAAAGGTCTCCTCTATGCTGCGATTCAAGTGCTCGTTAAAGGCACAAGGACAGGCTAGCTGCCTGCATCCTGGTCAGTTGGCAGCTGACACGATGCTGCCCAGAGACCAGCTGGGAGGGTTGATAAGCCTCTTCCTGCTTCTGCTGCTTGGGTAGGGCTGGAGACAGGGTGGTGGGGGAGTCCCCGGGGCTTGGTGCTTTTGCAGAATGCCAAATTCTTTGTGCAGAGAAAGGGTCATGCTCAGAGAGCTTTGCCGCTGAGGAACAGCGGCCTTCCCTAACCCATTTCCTCTGCTCTGAGAAGAAGAAAAGCATTTCCAACATCCGATCAGGTCAGGCAGCCTAACTGATCCCCCTTCGGTCTCAGGGACTCTACAGGACTTCAACAGAGCGACTTTATCTTGGAGGCAATAATCCAGCTGACCACTAGATGGCAAGAGAGAGAGAAGATGTGCTGGTTGCCCAGAGGTTTGCACCCCAGGTCTGATTGCCCCCCCCACACACACACACACTTCAGTTCAGTATTCTCAAATTGTGCTTTCCCAGGACATCAGGTTGGGGAAGCCTGTATTAAAACAGCCTTAAAGTTAATTAACACCATGTTCACACTACACGCTTGACCAAGTTATCAAGTTAAACCATTCCTCAGGGGTGTGCAATACACTAAAACATAAACTAACCAAACAGGCTGGATTAAAACAACCCATGTATAACAAAGATTAACACTAACTAGGTTTGTTGTGCAAATGCAGATGCTAGGTTTGTGTTGACCTGGTTGTGTGTGCTGTGTGAACATAACCAATAAGTACTAAGTTAAACTCATATAAACTCGCAGTATTATTGTTGCTTTCTGAGTGCTTTTGAGGAAGGATATGTGGCTCTCCACACTGTGCTAAACTACAAATCCCAGAGTTTTGGCCAGTGAAGGATCCTGGGAATTGTAGTTCCATAATATCTAGAGGGCTGCATCTTCCCCATCCCTGGTTTAACAGAGGTAGTTCACATATAAACGCTGGATTCACACAACTTTTTAAGCTATGCAATGATTTCCTCATTTGTGATATGATGTGTGAACCCAGACACCTGTGGTATTTAAAGTGAAGTAGGCATGGATACAGAAAACTCTAGGGTTTGCAGGTTTGCAGAAAAGTAAACCTAAGTAAACTATGGTTAAGCATATTGTGTCCAAGATGACCGATGATGATAGATGATAGATAGATAGATAAATAGATGATAGATAGATAGATAGATAGATAGATAGATAGATAGATAGATAGATAGATAGATAGATAGAGAAATAGGTAGACGGATGGATGGATAGATGGATGGATGGATGGATAGATAGATAGAACTTCTGAATAGCTTATGCTTGTAAATGAATGAATAAGAAAGACAGAGAGATCTGTCTGGTAAACAAGGGTGCCCAACGTCTTCCAGGCCAAGAATGAGTAGAGGGTGTGCTTAAAAGGTGAGACTAGGGCTGCTGAGGCCAAGATTCAAATCTACTGTCAGCCATAGAAATGCGCTGGGTAACTTTGGATCAGCCAGTCTTTCTCAACCTAACCTACCTCATAGGGTTGTTGTTCCAAGGATAAAATAAAGGGAAACCTCCCTGTGAGTCACCCTGAGTTCATGGTGGAAAGGCACGATATTCACCTAGCAAAGGAAGAAGGAACAGGTGAGACACAGTCTCCAGGCGGCATGCCCCGGGACAAACTCCCAAGCGTGCTGGACCCCGGGAGGACGGGCTGGGCCAGGAACGAGCCGTCCTGAAGACAGGCCCTGCAGGGTCACAGTCTTTGCACATCATCAGCAGGGTCTGAAGCAGCTCTGGAGCCACTGGTAGCTGTGCGTGATTTGGGAACCCACCAGCCACTTCCCAAGCAGCTCAGGAACACTTTGGCTATCTGGATTTCTGCTTCTGTAAAGGGAAAGTGAAGACATCCCCCAAAAAATCAGGGAGCCAAGGAGAAGAGCAATCCACATATCCCAAATATAGTTTCCAATTCTTGGAAATAATGAAGCCTTTTTCAAGTTGAGCTCGACTGCTGTTGACTTTCCTCCAGGTTTTCTGGCAACAATAGACAAGCAGTTTGCTGACTCCTTCCGGAATTTTCCTTTTTGACTTCTCGGTCTAACCTGCAGTTCTGAGATTTCCTAGTGGTCTCCTATCCAAATATTAACCGGGTCTAACCCTGATCAGTCAGTATCAACCAATACATTCCCTTTCGTTTTGTTTTGTTTTTCTGAATGCTAAAAGCGAGACGCCCCCGGGGGCCTGTCACTGAAGCGGTTTTATAGCCAAGGGTTCCCATGCCAGATTCCATCACTGAGAATCTGGACTGTCCCCTGTGGGGTAAACACACCCGGTCCCAAACCTCTCACCGCAGCCAAGTCCAAATTCCACATAGATCCCCAGCACGGTCATCCGCAGAGACCAAAATAGCTGGGTGGGGTGGACTGGGGTGAAAGCGAGTTTGCTGGCTTTGCACAATAGAGCCGGTCGTTCCTTTCTCTTCCCTTTTGGAAAGAGAGAACTGGTTTGGCCAGGAGGTTGCAGAGAGGGGGCCAGGCAGGCCAAGACGTCAGTATTTGTCCTTTCCTACCCTCTTTGGGGTTCTTCTTCTTTTCAAAAGCTGAACTTCAGCAGGCATTTAGCGTTTCTCAATCCTCCCGTTTTCCAGCCAGGGAACTCTGCCCACCAGGCTGTCTGACGGCCACAAAAACAACATGTTCAGGAATTGTGAAACAGAGAGAAAGAGCAGAATTTGGGAGTTTCATGCTGTGACTTCAGGCAGACTTTCTTGAGACTCAGTGGCTGCCTTGCAGGAGGAGAGCCGCGCTAGCCTATGGTGGCAAAAAATCAGGGGGAGTCTGGAAGCTTGAGCCTTTTAATAAAATGTGTTCATCAGAAAACACACAACCAGAGTCCTCCTGAGTAATTGCTGTGCTTGCTTCTAACATATACAAGAGAATAAAAAAGGGTGTGGAAGTCAGATATAAATTAAGAGAAAAGGTGAAGAAGAAGGAAAAAGGCATAGATCGTATTTGCAGAGAGAATAGGAGTCACTTTTGAGCAAACATGCAACAAATGCTGTAAAATGGGATGGAAGGGAGATGGGGGGAACAGGGGTGTCGGGGAGGGGGCTTAAAAAAGTCAGGGAGGGTGTCTGTGGCCATGGGATCAAAGACCTGGCCCTTTTCTATGACACAGATCAAAAAGGGGCCATGCAGGGTTTCAATTGCACAGTCAAGGCCACCCCCTTGACTTTTTTCACCGCCCCATAGACACCCCTGCCCTCCCATCCTTTTAATCCAAAAGTGCAGGCGGGGGTCACCTCTGTGCCCATCTAAACTCTCCAGAGGGCATTTTGCCTGGGAGTTCAGGAGTTTCCCTGCCAGGGTGGTGGGAGGATGCCAGGCGTGGGGAGGCTGGTCTACAGCAACATTGGCACCATCTGACCAATGGATGAGTTGGCCACAAAAGCGCCCACCTTCCGTGTCTTATAGGGCAAGAAAGCCATTTCCCCAACCTTCCTGAAATGCCCTTCTTCCTAGTCTCCCAGGGTCTCTGAAATTGCTTCCTCCTTTACAGTTACACCTCCAGGACGCCCTGCCACCCCCCGCCATGGAGTTTGCCGAGCTGATCAAGACCACCAAGGTGAACAACGTGGTCCTCTCATGCCCAGGACTCCAGCCCATCCGAGGGACGCTGGCCGTCACCAGCCACCACTTACTTTTCTCATCCCAGACGAAAGGGAGTGGGGAGCAGAGAATGACCGAGTTGTGGCTTCTTATTCGCAATGTGGATGCCACTGAGAAAAGGTGAGTAGCCCTCCCCAGCATCGCTGGGCTTGGCTTCTCATCATGGTTCCCCACCCCACCCCAGTATGTACAATCTGAGCCAGTGTTTCTCAACACTGGCTGGGGAATTCTGGGAGTTGAAGTCCGCTCATCTTCAAGTGGCCAAGGTTGAGAAACACTGGTCTAAGCAAACGTAGCCTTACGGAGCTTAAACTGCTCTATCAAACTTCGCTGATTCGTCTTCTTGGACAATTGAAAGAAGCTTTGTAGAAGAAACCTAAGTCACATGCCATATGCAGATTTTAGCTCCCTCGGTTGCCATCTCAGCTACATAGGTGGACTGTTCAGCCCCAAACGAAGGAGTTGTGCCCAGACAAATATTAGCATACACACTCAAGGGCTCTTTCCCAAGGGTGTGGTCAGAAGCAAAGATTTGCAGATCAGGGAAAGAGTTGGCTGCCTGGGGGAAGGCGGGGAGTGAAACCGGCCATGTGCTTTCCTACTCTATGTGCTAACGGATTACACCTCTTCCCTGCTGAAGCTCCAGCTTGCATCCTTTTGCTCCTGCGCTCTTCAAAAGGCAGACAAACATGTGGGTTTACCAGGTGACTTTTTTCTGCAAGGCTTGGGAGAAAGCATCACCTGCCTGGGATGGTGCAGAAGAGACCGAAAGAGATCTGGGGGTCTTGCACCTTCCTGGGATGCAGGCCCATGGGAGAACACAGCTGAGCCAAAATTTGAGTTGCCCATGGTCCCCCAGAGCGGCAGAGCGAGCTGGAAGAGAGAGGGCACTGCAGTTGGCAACAGATGCCCTGCATCTTGGTGCCCCCTGAGCCTCTGCCGCTCGGGCAGGATGCTAACCTTCTCCTTTGCCTGGGAGTTCAGGAGTTTCCCTGCCAGGGTGGTGGGAGGGTGCCAATGTGGGGAGGCTGGTCTACAGCAGCATTGGCACCATCTGACCAACGGGTGCGTTGGCCAGAAAAGCATCCACCTCCCCTGTCTTATAGGGCCAGGAAGCCATTTCCCCAATCTTCCTGAAATGCCCTTCTTCCTAATCTGAGCCTCTGCATCTCGGGCAGGATGCTAACCTCTCTCCTTTCCTTCCTGTGACTCTCAGCATTCAGAATTTAAGCTGGTATCAAAGCTCCCGGACTAACGGCTCCCCGCCAGAGAACAGGTTTGCCTTAACCCCTTTTCAGACCGCGAGGCACGCAAGCGAAGTGACAGGCTGACGCTTCATCGGCTCTCGGCTTCTGCAGCTGATTTGCACAACCGGGGAGGAGGAATCATGTCAGGCCCCACCTTTCCAGGTCTTGCATCAGGAACGGGTGGGCTGTTCCCTTCTGTGCGTTGGCCCAGACTGGTGGAGAAAGATCTTTGAGCCGTCCCGATGGTTTGCATGCGAAGACCCTTCCCCTTATCTCTTTCTACCTTGGAGTGCCTGCTGGAGAGCGAGGCAAGGATGGTTCGATGGGGTGGGTGGGAGAAACGGGGACAGGGACTGTAGTTAGAAATCCAGCTTCTTGCCAGAACGGAGTCCAGAATCTGCCTTTATATGAACTGAGCGCACACTTTTAGGCATGCACCATGTGCTTATCCTCTTGGCCTTGCACATCCACCTCCTTTCCATAAGCAGTTGAGATATTGTGTTGGAGATGTGAAATTGGCAGGAGCTCTCATTAGAGCAGGGTTCCTCAACCTTGGCAACTTTAAGACGGGCATAGCTGGCTGGGGAATTCTAGGAGTTGAAGTCCACCCGTCTTAAAGTTGCCAAGGTTGAGGAACCCTGTGTTAGAGGATGTGCTCCTGGGCCTATGCAGAGCGCAGGAAGAAGACCGAGTCATTAAGTGGCCTCAGCTCCTGTTCAAAAAGAGAAACGCCCATCCTCTGTCTGTCTTGGATGCAAAGTAAGACTTAGCCCGTAACTTAGCCCAGCTGTCAGAGAATGCTAATAAACATCCATTGCGTTTGAGATAGAAGGTAGATTTGTTAAGGAATAGATCAGACAGGGAAGCGTCTAAGCCACATCCTTAAGGGAAGATAAGAAGGGAGAGAGAGGAATTCCCATGACCCTTGAATCACAGAGACCCATTTTACTAACACCAGGCCAGGTAAAAGACAGGCCCAGGTTTGCATGTGAAGACCCTTCCCCTCACCTCTCTGCCCATCGTGGTCACACAGCTCGTAGATGCAAAGAGGTGCGTCTCCAACAGATATTGGAGCCCCATTTCTCCACCAGAGGCTGAATCGCTCATCTGGCATGTCAGCAGGGAGGGTCAAAAAAGTCAAGATGGCAGCTGCAGCTGCACAACCAAGCCCCGCCCCTTTATATATGCATCGCATCGGTAACACACAACAGGGTGGGGCTGCGGTCATCGCTACCATCTTGACTTTTTTGATTCTCCCTGCAGACACCCCTGTAACAGTAGTATAAAACTTCTGAAAAGGTCAAGCTTTGGATCCCTTGGCCTGAATGAAAGTGTTAAAAAGAATATTTTAAAGCCTAATCCTCTTGCATGCAAAAATTGAACGGCGGGGGGGAATGATTGATTATGGAAGGGTCCCCCTTTGGAGCGAGCCGCCTTATAGGCTAATCCATGACCTTTCCCAGACTGAACCCCACCTGTTTGCTCTCACAGGACCTTGCCCTGATCTGTCAAACACATCTCTGGGACCCTGGAGTAGAATCAGATGTTACTCTTGAGATCTGAGGGAATGACAGGCCAGAAATACAGATGTTGAGAGCGAGCATAAATCGGGGTTAGCAACATGGAGCCCATGGGCCACATGCAGCCCTCTCAGCACGGATATCTGTGGATAGCATAAAATATCTGTAAAATGTCAAGTAGGGCATCATGATGGAAGCCCTGCCCCTTTTGCATGTGGCTTCCATCTTGCAGATGTTGACATATGCACACCCCATGGACACCCCTCACCCTCAGCCCCTCATTTGTGGATTCCCCAAACCATGCTGCTGAAATTCGGCCAAGATAGTATACTTCAAATGGAGTAGTGAGATTTAGAGTGGATTGGGGAGGGTTTGAGGTGGGATCAAGAGCACTCTAGCCTAAACGCTTGGAAAATATGGGACCCCAATTGCTGCCTCATCCTTCCAGTGATGTCACTGGGGGGGGGTTGCCCCTTAGAAGACCAGAAGGTCACCAAAGGTCACCCACAGATGGATGCAGAAAATTCTCTCAAAGCCATTCTGGCCTGTCATTAAGACCTATCATTTGCAAGAGCCAAGCGTGCTGGTTATTCTGGATGTATTTAATCTGGATGGAAAAGTATGTGCAGTAACAGGGTGGGGACAAGAGAACAAGGGGGGGCAGGTGAGTTCATATGCCTCATGATATCATCATGCCAATGATGTGAGCGATGTAAGCACCATCAGTTGCATGATACATCCTGCTGTGGGTGGTCATCCCGGCTTTGCTCTTCCTCGGTTAATGAACTGCTCACTTCCTGCTCCTCTGCAAGCCCGTCTTTTGGGTTGTGGCCACCAAGCATGAGGTTCATTCTGCTTGCAGCCTGCTGCGTGTGGCCTCCTGCAAGGCACTCACACGTGAGAGAACAAGCTTGGTCTGTTTTCTCCCTGTCCCCACAGGCTTGCCAACACCTCTGGCACCATCACTCTCAAATGCAAAGACCTGAAAATTCTGCAGCTGGAAATCCCTGGGATGGAGGAGTGCCTGAACGTTGCCAGCTCCATTGAGGTGAGTGGAGTATGTCCTGCCTGTGGTAGAACCCAGCTGCTGCCAGATCATTGGAAGATGAACAGTCCCTGAACATGTGCAGAGTGCCTGTCCTGCTTAGTGGCGAGGGCGAGGGCTGGGTCCCCACCCACACTATCCTCAACCACAAAGTCCCCAGTCCCATTTTACCCTGGTCTTGTGTGTTGTACGAATTCAGCCAGTGCTTCATCCAAGATGTCCCCTGAGATGCGTTTTCTATTTTAAAGAATCCATATCGTTGTGCAGTTGTGGGAAGCAGTTACAGCCAGATAGCAAACACAATTCTGTACCCCACAACCCCCGCCCCGATTAAACTCCTATCCAAACTCGGAGCAAAGCCCACATGCTTCCCAATGTTGCAGCCTTAAGGACAGATGCTTGGGTGATGGTGATGATGATTCTACAGAAGAGCAGAAAGAAATACTCCCGAGTCCTTGCATCTTGCTCTTCAACCCCTTTCTTCGCGTGCACAGCACAGAAGCACCACCTTCTCCATTTCCTGTGGGTTCCCTTCGAAGAGGAAGGTAGGGGGAGGGTTGCAGAAGAAGGAAGATGACGCAGGGTGGCACGGAAGGCTTGTGGTGCTCGGCAGTTTGGCCAACGCAGCCCCAGCTGTTGCACAGAGCTCTTGGCAGGGTCGATTCAAGAGGGAAGTCTTAGTCAGGCTGTTTCCCTCGGCTCCCAGTTGCTGATGAAACTGGCTTCAGGCCAACGTGGGCAGAGCGAACCCCGGAAGCCACCGTTTCTTGCACACGGGAAAAAGGAGCGCCATGGGGGTAAGAAGATGCCATCTACCTGGGAATGAAGAAGCTGTTGCCGGCCTGCCTAATCTGAGGACATAGTTGCCCAATTTGGCTGATTGATTACTGAAATGTATATAGCTGCCCATCTCGTATAGATGACTCTGAGCGTCTTGCAAACAGTCAAAACAAATATAAAAGCAGTAAAAAAGAGCAGTACGGTTTAAAAACAAGGAAAAACAGTATACATACAACTCACAGCCCAAGTAATCGCGTTCATCAAAGCAATCAGGGCAGCCACTGCACCAGCTCCACCAAACCTTTGGGTCCCCCTGCCCATTGCCAAAGCCACGTCTTCAGGGCCTTGCAAAAAGCCAGCAAGGTCGGGGCCAATCTGATCTCCGGGGCATGATGTTCCACAGGGTGGGCACCATGGCAGAAAAGACTATCATTCTGGGCCTTGCCAGGCGACACTCCCTGGCTGATGGGACCTGCATCATGGCTCTCCTGCTGGCCCGGATGGGATGGGCTGATGTAACTGGGGAGAAGCGGTTCCTCAAGTAACCTGGCCCCATGCCATGTACCCTACAAGCATCTCCCGCCTGGCCAGGAACAACATTTTCAGCTCTTTCATGCTAGTTTTGAGGGACACAAAGACTGATGAACCCCAAATCCTCCCCCACATTGGGTGGCCTTTTCCCAGATAGACTTTAATAGGCAAAATGAGCACCTAGGCTTAAGACTCAAGAGGGAGAACGTCATGCATGCCTGTTTTTAACCATGATGGGCCACCCATGTTCCCACAGGCCCTTTCTTCTGTGGAATTGGTGATGAAGATGTACCCCTTCTTCTACAGACCCCAAAACACGAAGCTGGGAACTGGGTGGCTGACACACATTACTGAACAGTATTACAAGCAGATCGCATCTGAAGTGAGTAGAAAGTTCGGTGATCTCATGAGAAACAAAGTCCCCTCTCTGAGTGTGAGCCCCACACAAGGGAAATTGAGTTGGCAGAACTGACGTTTTGTGGCCTGGTGTCAAGGACTTTGCATGTTATGCCAGTTCTGGAGCGGAACCAGGTCTCCCAAAGACAGCGGGTTAGTTTAGGCAAGACTTTTTAAGATGCTGGGTGTTATTCTGAGCACCCCAGTTCCTGTCCACCCTAATTTTTGTTGAGATGATTCCTAGGTTGATGCAATTATTTTCCTGTGGTCCACGGATGTCAACAACCCAGGAAGTGGGAGTATGGGGAAATGTGAACTATTGAATCCTTTGTAGGAGGAAAGTTTGTCTATGGCAGCAAATAATCAGAAGAAGTCGGGTAGCACCTTTTCGGACTCACACATTTTCTTAAAAGGCATCAGCTCACGAAAGCTGATGCCCTTTAAGAAAATTTGTGGATCAGAAAAGGCGCTACCTGACTTCTTCTGAAATATTGAAGAAACTCGTCTTGCATTATATTTTAACAGATTAGTTTTGCTGCCTGGAATAACAAACATTAATCTCTCTGATCTAGCCTTTGGATGGGACCCTCTTCCCGTCTGCAGCTCAGGCCATTGCCTCCGGTGACCCCTTCTTTTAAGAAAGACCCAGAGGTTGCAGAACAGGCTGCGCGGCACACGTGGGTCTTTCTTCCATGACACAAGGACTCCTCAGGAATCACTCCTCTTGCCTCCAGCCTTCTCACTTTGCCCAGTAATTGTGCCAGCCTGGTTCCTCCCCCCCTCCGCCCCCACCCCACCACACAAACAAGCCAACAGCTTCCTCCTCTCTGTTGCACAGAGCAACACCCCAAGCTGAACCTGTTGAAATGCAGCAAGGTCAAGAAATGTCATCTGGCGGGATGGGAGTTCAGGAAGAACATCTTGGAGGCAA